TCTAGATATATAGGCCTGGGGGTATATTTGTGATAAATTGTTAAGTGAAAAAAAGCAGCTTGCAAAATAATATATGTGACATGATCCCATTTTCATAAAAAACAAACAAACAAAAATCCTCTTAGGAATGTGTGTTTAAATTGTATTGGGTTGGCCAAAAGTTTCATTTTTTTTTTTCTGTAAGATGGCTCTAGTAATGCTTAGTTGTCTAACTTCATTTGAAACAGTTTTGTTACATTGTATCATGATAGCTGTTCTATCAGTGTGCATTAAAAAAACTTATCAAAAATGGTGAATTTTGGGGTAGCCATTTTAATATTGAAGATGGAAGAAGAAAAGCAACATTTTTGGCATAGTATGCTTTATTGTTTTAAGAAAGGTTAAAAACATAACTGGACCCCCCCCCACCGAAAAAAAGATTTGTGCAGTGTATGAAGAAGGTGCTGTGACTAGTCAAATGTATCAAAAGTGGTTTGCAAAGTTTGGTGCTGGAGATTTCTTGCTGGATGACACACCAGTTTGGGTAAACCAGCTGAAGTTGATAGCAACCAAATCAAGACACTGAGAACAATCAATATTATACCATGCAGGAGATAGCCAATATACTCAAAATATCAAAATCAAGCGTTGAAAATCATTTGCACCAGCTTGGGTATGTTAATTACTGTGATGTTTGGGTCCCACATGTCTGTGTGCATGTGTGCTCAGTCACTCAGTCATGTCCAACTCTTTGAGACCCCATGTCTGTGTGCAGGTGTGCTCAGTCACTCAGTCATGTCCAACTCTTTGAGCCCGCCAGGCTCCTCTGTCCTTGGAATTTTCCAGGCAAGAATACTGGAGTGAGTGGCCATTTCCTTCTCCAGGGGATCTTCCTGACCCAGGGGTTGAACCTGTGTCTTGACCATATTTTCACATGCGATTCTTTACTGAAATGTAATGAAAATGTTCTGTTTTTAAAACAAATTGTGACAGGCAACGAGAAGTGGATACTGTACAATAACGTGGAATGGAAGAGATTGTGGGGCAAGCAAAATGAACCACCACCAACCACACCAAAGGCCGATCTTCATGCAAAGAAGGTGAGGTTGTGCATATGGTGGGACTGGATGGGAGTCTTCTATTATGAGCTCCTTCCAGAAAACCAAATGACTCATTCCAACAAGTACTGCTCCCACTGAGCCCAACTGAAAGCATCACTCGACAAAAATCGTCTGGAATTAGTTAACAGAAAACACATAATCTTCCATCAGGATAACTTGAGACCAAACATTTCTTTGATGACCAGGCCAAAACTGCTACAGCTTGGCTGGGAAGTTCTGATTCATTCACTGTATTCACCAGACATTGCACCTTCAAATTTCTGTTTATTTCAGTCTTTACAAAATTCTCTTAATGGAAAAAATTTCAATTCCCTGGAAGACTGTAAAAGACACCTGGAGCAGTTCTTTGCTCAATTAGATAAAAAGTTTGGGGAAGATGGAATTATGAAGTTGCCTAAAAAATAGCAGAAGGTATTGGAACAAAATGGTGACTACGTTGTTGATCTAAGTTCTTGGTGAAAATGAAAAATGTGTCTTTTATCTTTACTTAAAAACTGAGGGAACTTTTTTGAGTCAACCAATACGATTTGGTATGATCTTGGAGGAAGCCAAATAAGGATTCCTAACAATTTGGTTGAGTTTGGTGATCTCAGTGGTAGAGATTTCCTTGGGGTGCTCCCCTGCTATTTAACCTGTTACAGCTAGCATTTTGTTACTTTTGTTATTCACGATAAACTACATCCAATGGCACTGAGGTTAAAGGGAGAAAAGTCCTCCAAGTGATGTGACTGGGTGCCACATTCCATTGTACAAGGATAGACAAGTGACTTGTGATTGTTGTAATTTATCGATCACTGTGCTATCACTCTGGGAGGTCAACCCACTGGAACAGGGGTTAAGTGACCTGCTTAAGGCTGCGCAGCTAGCACATGACAGAGCAGAGACTGCAACCCAGGTGCCTCTTACTCTGAAGCTGTCTTAACTCCTACAAAATACTCCCACCCTGCAGCTGTGGCGGCTTCCTGTGGTCTTTCTAACAGGGTGGTTCCTCCTCCGGTCAGGTTTTTGCTTCCATTTTCTCTCTGCCATGACATTTGGTAACCATGAAAGGGAACTAACCTGTCATTCTCAGAATAGGACCTGAGACTTGTGCAGAGGGGCCCATCCATTTCCTGCCTGGGCAGTTAGGCATTTTCACAAAGAGGGAAACTCATGAATGTCATGAACGAGGATGCTTCTAATGAGCCCCCCACATGGGGAACTGGACTTAGAAGTGCCTGGTGTCTTGGGGCTGCCTAGTCGCCAGCATGGCTTTGTTTTGTTTTGATTTTATCTCCTGAGGCTCTCCATCAACTCCCATTGCTTTCTCTATTAGGGCTTTGCAGATATTTATCAGTCATCTCTACATGCAGAGTCAAAAGGTTTCATTGCTAGAAATGACTTAGCATGGAGGATCACCTGGGCTGCCTTTTCCCACAGGAGGAAACGCCCAGAGAGGTCGGGTGGCTTGTCTAAGATAACAAGGCTGCTCAGGGGCCACTTGAGACTAGAACCGAGTTCTGATACTCATGTTGCTGGGGCAATTGCACACTGCACTTCTGGCCTTTTCTTTTCCACTCTGGGGCTTTCGCTTTGGCAGCCGAAGAGATCTCCCTAGATGAGGTTTTCTTTTCTTTTTTCTCCCAATTTGCTTTATTTGCTATTTATTTTTATTTGATCACAAAATTTGATTTCAATTTTATCTATTGATTTGTGTTGTTTAAAACTTACTGTATTGAATAGGTAATATACACATTTGGCTAAAAAAATGCAAAACAGTGAAAATTGATTTCTCTCCCTACTCTCTCTATCCCCAGAGAGAACTGACACTACCAAGAAGCTTTAGTTCACATCTTGCTCTATAGGTCTTTACACATCTGTGCAGAATTGCTAGGTCAAACGGAAGGTGCATTATAAATTTTGCTCTTTTCCAAATTGACACCCAAAGCTGCAGTGCTAATTTATATTCCCACTGACAGCATGTATGAGTTCTGCTTCCCTTCACAGTTGCCTAAGCTTTTAAAATATTGTCAATACTTATTATAGCTTTAATTTCTGTATTTCTTATGAAGAGTGTCTCAGTCCACTTGTTGGGCCGCTCCAACAAATTACCATAGACTGACTTGCTTAAACAAGAGAAATTTATTTGTCACAGTTTTGGAGGTTGGTAAGTCTAAGATCAAGGTGCTAGCCAATTTGGTTCCTGGTTTGAACGCTTTTCTTGGTTATGTCTCCGCAGGGCAGAGCCAGTTGAGGTGGGGGAGGGCAAAGTAGGCAGGGAGAGAGAAAGACAGAGAAGGAGGGAGGGAGAGAGTTTGAAGGCTGTAAGTCTTTCTTGTCTCTTCTTACAAGGGCACTACTGCAATCATGAGGGCTACACCCTTGTGACCTAATTACCTGCCAAAAGCTCTATCTCCACATACCATCACACTGGGAATGAAAGGTTCAGCAGATTAATTTTAGGGAAACACAAACATTCTGTCCACTGCAACAAGTGAGGCTGAACATCTTTTTATATATTTAAGAGCAACACGTCTTTCCTACTCTGTAAACTGTCCATGTCCTTTTCTCATTTTTCGATTAGGTTGCTTTGGGAGACTTTAAAAAAAAACTTAACTGAAGAATGAGAATTTGGTGACCAGGTACGTAAGATGAAAGCCTCCTGGCATAGAAACACACCTGGATATGATAGACCATCAGTCTGATTTTCAGACCCAAGTAACATCATGCATGTTGATAAAGTGCTCCCCCCCCAAACATTTTCATCAATACATCTTAATAGAAATGCATGAAATTGGTCTGAAGTCAGTGGGTCAGCAACAGGGACCTCTTTCTGACAGACTGGGAAATGAGGCTCAGAGAGTTAAACTGTGGTGGTCAAGGTAATAAAACCATGGGTGCCAGAGTCATCTATAGGCACTTGTTGACAGAACCTTCTGGACTGAGGCTTGGGCTCTGAAGCCAAATACACCTGGGATTGAGCCGCTCACTAACTGGAGAGCTTGGAGGTGTCACTGCACTTCTGAGCTTTGACTTACAGTCTAAGGATAAAAACAGTATCTTAATGCGGTTGTTCTGAGGACTAGGTGAAATAATGTAGGTAGATTCGTTATAACATAGTGTCACTGGGTTATAACATAGTGTCAGTCATGATAATACACATTATAACATGCTGCTCCTAAATTTTGCTTTAGCAGTAATTTGTGGTAATTCCAAAGTTCAATTCATATATCTAATAGTCTTCTCCTTTTATTACATTGTTTCTTTCTTGTTTTCCATTCGTCCCTCTTTTAATCCAATCCACCTGGCTTTTCAACGTTTGCGGGCTTGTTAATAAGTTATCTCTTTCCCACCTTCGCGCGGAGCATGAACTCTTGAGGTCTGATAGAGAGCCTCCTTATACTGGCATTTCTCTGGACTCCCACACTGTTATGCTTGGGAAATGTTGGTTATTGAGTGAATGGAGCCAGGCGGGAAGGTCTGCTTCAAATCCAGCCCAGTAGTGTCTGGTAGTTTAAAATATACATATATTTATATCCTGGCACAAAGCAAGAGGTCAGAAAGCATTTCTGCATGCATCTATGCATGCATAGTGCACACAGCGCCTAGGAGTAAGGGCTTAAAAGGCATTTCTGGATTCAGTGCATAGCGCATGGTACACAGTAAGCACTTCCTGGGCTAGGCTTAAGAATCTTAATGCAGGAGCTTTGCTTCGCTGTGTGCCTGAGCGCACGGGTTCGAATCTCACCCCCTCCTCTTCCCAGCTGAGCGACCTCAGGTAAGTGACTTAATCTCTTTGTGCTTCGGTTTTCTCCTCTGCAGAACGCGGACCACGGAGTGAGACCTCGAGGAGACACCCAGAAGCACTTGGATCTGCTGTCTGGCCCATGGCGGGCCTCTGCCACCCAGTCGGCCGGGGCGATGGAGGGCACAGGCAAGGGGCCCGGCGCCCTCTACAGCCACGGCCACGGGCGTTCCCGGGGCTCGCGGTCGCGCCCAGCAAAGATTCGTGCACCCGAGGGGGCGGGGCGCGGGGCGGCCGGCTCGGCGGCTGACTGCCCGCCCGCCCGCCTCGGAGCCGCGCCGCCCGCACTTCTTTCTCTCCCTCTCTGTCTCGGTCTCCCTCCCTCTCTCCGTCGGAGAATCCAGCCGCACTCGGCTCAGCAGCGCCGCCAGCGAACAGCCACGGCCGCCGCTCTGGCCCCTCCCCCGCCCCCTCCAGTGCTCCCCCCCCGTGCGGCCGGCGCCCGTCACGTGACAAGGAGCCAGCCAATGGCGGGCCGAGCCGCGGTCGGCGGCCGCCATTGCTGTCAGAGCGAGCGAGCCCGGGGAGGGAGGAGAAGCGAGGCTGACTGGGGAGGAGGGGGGGGTGGGGGAGGAAGAGGAAGGAGGGGACGTCGCTCGGCTGCCGGGGTCGCCCGCTGGCTTCGTCCGCACCCCCCCCTTCGCGAGTTCGCGCTCCGCGGCGGCGGCGGCTCCGAGGCGGCGGCGGCGACTCCAGGGCTCGCCTCCCCTCACGCGCCGGCGGGGGCTGAGGGGGAGTCGGTGGCTGGAGATAAACAAGGCGGCGGCGGCGGCGGCAGCAGCGGCGGCGGCTGAGGAACAGGGAAGGCGGAGGCGGCGGCCGGCCCGCAGCGCCGGCCCGGGAGGCAGCGGCGGCCCTGAGAGGCGGGGAGGGCGCCGGGCCGCGCGGACAGCGCCCCCCGCCGCCGCGGGAGCAGCCGCCGCCGCCGCCGCCCGAGCAGGAAGGAGCCGCGCGGCCGCCGCGGACCCCCCCGCCGGCCCGGGCCCGCCGCCCCCGGCGCGGCGTCGCCGCGGCGCCTCCCGCCCGCCCGCCGGCCCTCGCGCCCTCCCCAGGCGGCGGCGGCGGCCGGGCCGCCCCACGCTTCCCGGCGAGGCGCCGCCGCCCGGCCCGGCCTCGCCTCGGACGCCTCGCTTCGACATGCCCCGCTCTGGCGGCCGGGCTCGCGGAGGATCATGACTGCGGCAGCGAACTGGGTGGCGAACGGGGCGAGCCTGGAGGATTGTCACTCCAACCTCTTCTCGCTGGTGAGTAGCCGGGCTGCGGGGAGGGGGCTGTGCTGTGGGGTGGGGGGGGGTCGACCTCCGCCGCCGACCAACTTTCTCCTCCCGCCGCCGGGACTTCGCCCCTCCCTCGCCTCTCCCCGCCGTTCGCCTCTTGCCGATTCTCCCCCTTTTGGATCGTCTCTCCCTCGCCTTGGATCCCATCCAGTGTTTATTTGGCTCTTTAAAAATCATTTGTGAGCGCGGCGCTCGGCGTGGAATTTGCATGTGGAAGTCTCAAAGCTGCCGATTCTGGGTCGCACTTCGAACGCCCACCTTCTGTTGCAGTCGCACTCCCCTTCCCCTCCTTTTCCCCCCGTTCCCCCCCCCCCCCCCCCGAATGTGGAAGGCTTTTGCCTTGTGTTGCCCGCGCCTGCGATAAGCAGCTTCCCCCCCCCCCCCCGCCCCTTGTGTCGGATCGGCTGCCCGCCCGCCCGCCTTTTGAATTTTTTAAAAAATTCCATAATGACACCTGCAATTTCGCCCGAAAACAGTTGATTGAATGCGATTGTGTCAGTAAAGGACTCTTGCACCCGAAGCTCCGGCGATTGTAAACATCGACAGCCGCCTGCCTCTCGGGGCTTACTACGCTGAAGAGCCTTTAAGCCATTGCACCGAGCCGACGGAAGGTGGAGAAAGCTTTTTCTTCTCTCTCTCCTCCTGTGTCTTTTAAAAACTGTTTTCTCTCTGCTCACAACGAATCCACACACACACACAGCAACAAGCTGGGCGGTTTGATAACATCGCTTTTATCTGCCTTCGCCTCTCTCGCGCTCTCTCTCTGATAATTGACAACTTTTCCTTCGGATTTGAATCGCCTGCCCTAATCTTGAAGCAGTTAGGGTGTCAATTGTTCTCCTGGAAGCCTGGCATCCGACGACGGCGTCTAGATTCATCGAAATTAAAAATGTATAAGGTTCCAGCAACTCTTTCCTGGCGGTGGCAGTGACATTTGGTGGTAAATGCCATCTTTGCTTTTTTTTATTGGGTCGTATTACCTAGCTCTGAAAACATTCACGTTGTTAAACCTGGCGTTTAGGCTAATAATTGCAGTGCGTGGTCTTTAAATATGTGCTTTGTGCATGAGTTACTGTATGTATAGCTATGTGCCCGGGAGACTACGAATTTGTTTAAATATTGAGCAAAGATTTGTCAACAGATGTAAGGCAATTATGTTTCAAGCGTGGAATATAATTGGAAAATTGGCTGAACGGTTTGTTTAATTTAACTTTAAAAAAAACCCAACTTTGTTTAAGTGGTGTACCCTTTTTGGGGGACTGCCTTTAGAGAACATGCATTTTGGAAATTGTTTTCCGTAACCTCTGCTGTACGTAGAGCTTTATTTCCTCTTAATCTTTGTTTACACTGGATACATAATTTAGTGTTCAAATTGTAATTAGTTACATTTAATTATGGGTAGCAAAGATGCTTTTTTTTTCCCCCTTTGAGACTTGTGGAGAAATAAAAATTCTTGCCAACTTTTCAGATGGAAGCTTTATTAAATATATTTCATTGTGCAGATTAAAAAAAAATGAAGACAAGCGATTTTTACCTACTGAGACCGAGTGACTTAGTATCTGTGCTTTTACTGTAGTAATAGCAGGTCAGTTTTTTTCCTCCCAACATTTTTATTCGGATATTTAATCTTAACATTCAGTTACAAGTTGTGATTCTCCCTCTCAGTCCTGTGGTAACTTCCCCTTGCCGCCTCTTTTCTTCTCTCAGTCTTTCGTTTAGTATCACTCAGGTTCTCAGGGACTTGGATAGGCTAGCGAGCCTTGGCTAAGGGGCATTTAAGTGGTTTTGGTTTGGTGACTGGTGGCCGCGTTGACACTTTATTAGGAAATTAAAATAACCAAGTAGATCAGTATTAGTGAGGAGAGATTCCCCCAAATTACCATATATCATGCTGACTGATAATGGCTTGTATGTATGTGGCTATTTTGTATACAGTACCTTTCATGTAGGAATGAAAATACATGTGTAGCCAGTCTTTAGTATATATCATTTTTTTATCCTTTTTTTTTAAACTTAAGTAAGAATGATAATGTTGCTAAAGATGTTTAATATTATTTTGGAGAAACAATTTGTAGGAGAGGATTCTGTGCTTTCTGACTTTCTAAAGGTTTGTGTTTAAACCAGGAATTGATTTTTGAGTATACTTTTTTAAAACAATTATTCTTTAGGTAGCAACTTTGAAATGCAGAAATGCTTTTTTTTTTTTTAAAGGACTATGGAATGTCTGTGTTCTTTTATAGATGGAGGTTGGATAGCTGGTTATTAAAAAATTACAAATCCGTTAAAGAGCTGCTGATACTGTAAATTTTTCTTGCTCCAAATTGAGCATTTTCTTGAAAATCAGATACAGCAGCAACTTGGAATATCAAAAATATATTGCCTAAAATACCTTGTATACAATAATTAATTCCAAAGGGGATAAAATCATCACCTGTTCAAAATAAAGCATGCATTATAAAAACTCTTAGTACATAGTATTAGCATATAGTTTTGTTTTTGACCTGTAGTTTTTTGAGCAAAGTATTGCTTATAGAGAATTTACCTAAATACTCTTAATGTGGATTGAAATGTAAGCTAGAGCTGATAAAGTTCTGTACCACATTAATGACCCACCCAATTTCTGTTACCTCAGGGTGTTCACCTGGCTTAGCAGGAGTTGATTTGTGCAGTCAGGTGACTTAAGATTTTTGTTAGTCCTTTACTTACTTTGTTTTCTGATATTCTACTGCGTGGCATCATCATATTTCCTAAATTCTTTGTCAACCCCTCCCCCTTTTCCTAACATGTGAAAAATGCCATTGTGCATACATGATATGGGTTATTCTTGCAGTTGTGAGATTTGTAGCTACTGCATTAAATGCATTCCTGACTGTGCCTTTGTGACTCAGAACTGTTTTCTCATGCTGTCCATCACATTTCCGGGAGACTCTTGCTATGTATTCATTCAGTTATAATTCAGTTAAGTGTGTTAAATCTGCCCTTTTGGAGAGTGTACCAATGCCCTATGGGATGTCAACTCATCCTTGTGGAAAGACATTATTTCCAGATGTAAGTATATCTTTACTTTTGTTCCTGTTTCTTATTCAAGATGATACGGAGAAAAGCAGTTTTATGTCCTTCATAAAGTATATATATACTTCATAAAAGTATATACTCTTTGACATAGGGCAGTTTAATTCTTAGTTATGTATGTCCCACATTCATGTTGTTTTATTTGCCTAGAATCTTCCTAACTATGGGGTAGTTGGGGGATGGTATCAAATTCTTCCTTCCTAAATTGAAATACACATTAGTACATGATTCCTATTAAGGATCACTCATTCAGCATTTGAAGATTTTTACGGTAATCTCTCATTGACCTGCTTTCTTTTTTCTTGAGATTTATTTTTATTTTTTTTGCAGAGAGGGAAGATAGTTGTAGAAACCTTGAGATTTATTCTTTTGAGTTAGAACCAGATGGGGAGGACCATCAATTGAAAATGAGGAAGAAGGAATGATTAATTTTCTCAAATGCAAATACTTTATAGAGTATTTTTTTCATTTGAGTTTCCAGTGTTAGTATTTACATGTGAAGCGTCTTTTTTTCATGATGGTTCATTTTCTTTAATGAAAATATTTATAATTTGCTAATGTTTGTTTTCTGTTTAGCATTTTGTTGTTAGTATCACATGGTATTACAGTATTTATATATTTTTAATAGCAATAATTGCTTACCCGGTAGTAGTTGCTGTATTAACCTCCAATTGCTAGTAAATATTTTTAAGTACATAATAGACAGCAATTTAAGGCATAGTGTAGCAGTTTACTGGACCGTTTTAAAGAGCCATTTGTACGTGTGATGAGTTCATAATTTTAAAGAGAAAATAATGTACGTGGGACTTGCATGCTACAAAATGTGTTGCTGTGTTATTGCTTGAAGAGTTCATTGAGAGGAAGTTAGGTTGTGGCTGCTGCTTTGTGAGAATAAAGGCAGGGGGTGCCTTAGGACAATGAGTGTTGAGTTTATGCCAGGTGCTTATGCAGTTTAGCACTTTCTTTGGAATATTTTGGTCATTTTTTTCGTGACTGTATTAGGTATTTGGGGAACAAACAACCTTTTAAGGCATTCTTTAAATAACAGTAAGTTATAGTAGTGGCTTATATTAATTAGGTATGGAAAGATTCATTCATCTTTTTTGTTCACAGGCTAATTTAGCCTAGTTAGTTCTGAGTTAATTGTATTCATCAAACATTTTCTTTTTTTTTTTCATCAAACATTTTCAAAGGTCTTCTCTGCTCTTGAGATTAATAAGAAAGATACCCTGTTACCACTTTATACTATAGTCTATATATTATATATTGGCAAAAGATAGGCATATTCTATAGTAATGTTTAAGTTATTTAAAATTGAGGTGAAATTCAGTGTAAATAGTATTAAGATTACTTACCTGGATTTTTTGAAATAAACAATTCAACTTTTTCTCAAAGTTTGATTCAGAGATAGACTAGATTGTTTTCTTTTTGGCCACTTGGATCTTAGTTCCCAGACCAGGGATCAAACCCATGTACTGGAAGAGAGTCCTAACCCCTGGACCGCTTGGGAATTCCCAGACTAGATATTTTTCTGAGTGTTTTAATTTGTTTTCAGTAGAGGAAAAGCATAATCTTCTCCTTTGAAATAGTAGTAGAAGGTACTGATTTATTGTTGTTTTGAAACTGGATGATATATTCATCTCACAGACGTTAGCTACTTTGAGAGATTAGACAAAGTTTATGAGAATTAGTAATACGGTGGAATATTGGATGTTATCACTGAGTTGTGCATTGCAGCCATTTATTAGAAATGGAGAAAAAGAGTTTGCTTCCTCGGCGTTTCTTTTAGTGTCCTTTATTTAAAATGTGTTATGTGCTAACTTGCTTTACAAACTGTGTTGTGGCTACCAGAATTTCTATTTTGTCATTGTATAAACATTGCTATTTCAAGAAAT